ACATTTTATATTTGGGGTCCACTCACCCTCTTCCTTCTTCCTACAAAATTTCGTGTCGATCGGCGACCAGGGCCTTTAGGAACTACACCAAAAAAATGTCGACCTAAGGTCATCGACACATTTTTGCATACTAAAATGCTTATTTCTCCCTTGCTTCAAATTTATTTCGTGCTCACGATGTCGTGAATCCTTCAGCTTGTAATGGCCTTGGAATTACTTTGGGAGAACTTCACTCCTCTCAGTAATTTTTTTATTTCACTTTCAGTAGCAACGGAAATAATGTAGACGTTCGTTACAGTCGAGACACCCTGTATAACGTGTATAGCCGACCGCGTCGAAGGAATTAATCGTCGCGTCGCGTGACGCGATTAATTCCGTCGACGCAGCTCGTTAACGTACTCGTTTTCCCCCGATCACGTAGTCGACGTCAACGTTTAGTATCAATTAACGTAATTAACTCGATTCGCCCGCGCCAACGTAACGCGTCCGGTACGTTTCCGTATCGGGAGGTATCGGTGTGATCGCGTTCGTTCGCGAGCTATCGCGGGGGATGGTCACGCGACCGGAAGCACGGCCACCCTCCGGAGAAGGATTTATCGCGATAAGGTCGGCACGTGGCCGGCTGAACTTCCGGTCAATCCCCTCCGTACGGTTTTCACGGTCGCGTGGAATACAAACACGCGAGATGGGCGTTTGACTTTCGAGACTGGTGAAATGGTGGCTTGAACAAGGGAGTGAATGGGACCTTTCTCTGAATCGACGTTGCGAAATAGTATTTTTTCGGTAGAATATTTCATTGTTCAATTAATCGTCGAATGGTAAATCATTTCTTAACTAATTCGTGTGGATTGTTGAAACATTTTTCGGTATTCGCATGGTATATGTTTCAAATATTGCGGAGTAATAGTTAGGGTATTCTAATAGTAATGGTATTCTTCTCTGTGAAATTAAAAAAAATGTAGAAATATTGTAAATATTAAATGTACTATATAGGAACTACTTGTTAAACGAAAGGTAATAAAAATTGATAAATTATACAATTATAGAATAATCGATTTTTTATGATAATAGAAATATATACAATTCTTGGATCTTAGTCGTCTTCCTTGTTAGCTTTTTTTTATTTTTCCTTTAATTTTCAAGTCAGGTTTAACGTCTAATTTTTACCTGTTGGTAATTTTATTATTAATCTAATATGTGCGTGGTAAAGTCATTGTTAGTGTTATGTCCAGTTGATAAAATAAGTCGTGCTTGTTTAATGAAACATGCATCAATTTTGAAGCTTCTTTTTTTTGTTAAACTGCATAACTTCCTGTTCCAAGCACCATTCCATCCAACCTTGTTGCCCACATTGTTGGCGAATTCATTACATCCCGTTCATTTAGTCGTTCAGTTCAGCCTATCTCGTGGCAACGGTGTCGAGTGTGTGCACCGGTTGGTCCAGCTAATTCCACGATCTTCTAAATAATCATTTTCCGAAGCATTGCTATGAAAATAGTACAGTTCTAAAGTGGCCGAGAATTCTCTATATTTACAGCCTGATGTCAGGGTTGCCTTAAAATTTTCCCAGAAATTGAATCTATCAGTTTCGCTACATTCCTCGGCTTAATTAACCATCGTATTCGTGTTATTACCGAAAGAAAAAATTCAAATCCCCTCCAAACCAACTGTCGTCATTTTTCCACCGCAAAAATTACAGGAAGCCACCTTTCAAGGTCACACGAAGGTCAAATTTTTAATTCACCCGTTACCATGTCCACCGTGTTTTCTCCATTGCAAAAATACTCTGTCACCTTTCGCGAAAGGGACAATTCCCCTTTGTAGAATCGTGTTGTAACCCTCCCCCTTCGGAACCATGGCAAGGTTACAACACACGAGGCGCATCCATCCCCTTTGAACTGCAACATTTTCGTTTGCCAACAATTTTCGATAAAATCAATATTTACGACGGGACCATGACACCGGCGTGCACACACACGCGTGTATCTACACCGGCGTGCGTAGACCGTATATAAAAAGTTCCCCCTCCCCACCCCGTATTTCGGTGGAAACGTAGCCTTTGTACCCGTGCGCCATAGTACACACACTTTGTATACGCTAACAATATAATATCCTATGTAACCTACGGACGTTAAAGCGGATAAGATCACTTTGCGTTCTCTCTCGATCGGCCCCGGACATTTGCCTCGTGGTCTCTTGGTGGCCCTTCAAGCTCGTCCAGCGTGATTCGACTCTGGGGCTCGGTCTGGCAAACGTTTCGTATACACACTCACTCGACCCCGATTTTCTTCTTTGTTCGCCTCTCGGGAGGCTGTGTTACGAGGCACGATCACCAAATGATATCCTCGATTAATCGTGAATATTATATATTTATCACCGGCGATGTGTAAAATCGGGCAACGTGTACGTTGCTTAGGCAGAGTATACGTTGCCTAAACTTTACGCTCCGCCGGTAACACAGAAACGAACGAAAAGGGGTAGGTAACCAATTTCGATAAAATTTCGATTCTCGTCAGCAGCATATTCAGTGCGGTTCATCGTGAACGATCTGAATAGGTTAACAGAACTGTTCAACCCTCGCACGGTGGTGGATTTAATAGTTGTAATCGTGAAACCGAACACTTTATTTCGTTTGAAACGAAACACTCGTCTACCCTCGGCTCCTGCCTTCGGTGCGCCGCTTGAAATTTGAAACATTCTATGGATCTTTAGTCTTTAGTATCCAATATTACAGCGAGTGAGGACTGGGTTTATTTCCAATTGATTGTGAATACAGAGAAAGATGCGGCAAATGTCAGAAGTAGCGGAAAAGAGAAATGTTTTATGTATATTTCGTTTTGATACAGAACAAGTATTATTTATTTCGTATGTCATTTATACTTTCTTTCAGTTAGTGACAATAATGAATTCACGATAATAATACCGTCTTTAAGAAAAATAAAATATTTTTTATTTCGGAAAAAACGTAAGAACGAAACTTCGTTATTCCATATTCACCGTTCAGGGGTGAAATTAATAAATTAGGAATAATTTAACTCTTCACGAGACTCGACGAAGGATTTCCGTTCCACTGTTAACATAAAAAATAAAATAAAATTCTAACGTACACTATTTCTCCATCGAAAAGGCGTGAAAACGATACTTCGTTATTCACATCCACCGTCCAAGGGTGAACAAATTAACTTTGCACGAACGATTTCATTATCCATACAAAAAAGTACGATCAAAAGTGCTGGTGCTTCGTAATACAGGAACATCGACATCCCGAACACGTACTTCTCTCACGCAACGTTAATCACAGCTTCGATGAAAATTATTCCCACTTCTGTCAGCGAAAAGAAACACAGGAATCAGCTCGCGAAGAGGAGAAGATAGCGAGATGAGCTGGAGCAGGCTGTACGACGATTAAAAACGATGTTCTCAAATTGGAAACCCATGGATTCCGATGTACAAGTGTTCGTTTAAAGGTATTCGTAAAATATCACTCTCGATCATCCCTCCCCCGTGTATACACACACGACCTACGCGAAGCGGAAACGAAAAAGTCACGAAATTGAACACGACGCCTCGTACCTCTCCTCCTTACGTCGCTTTCCAAGTTTCCCCAGTTGACACGCGTCAGAACCCTTTTTTATTTTCGAATGTAAAGCGAGAGTTCGCTGTGCGCTCGTCCAGCTCGAGAGCCACCCTTTTGTCCTCGTCGAGGGGAGACGTTCTCCACGCGCGTTCCTCCTTCAAAACACGTTAAAACGTTTCAAACACACCTTGTTCCTGTCCGCGTCCCTTATTCTTCCTCGTTTTCTTCGTCTTCTTCATTCGTTTTTATTCACGCGGTATACAGAGATAAGATGGAGTTCGTGTATGTGTGTGCATGTATGTATGTACGTGTAGATGTGTGTCTGTCTGTGTGTGCGTGTATGTCGAATATATATTTAAATATTAAGAAAAAAGTTTTCAGGCACGCAAGTTGGGCAGGGGAGCAGCTCGCAGCGATTTGGAAGAGGACGCTCGCGTTCCTCAGTCCCTCCACTTCTCTCTTTTTCTTCTCTCGTTTAACACACGCCCCTGTGAATTCGCGGATCGTGCGAAACTTCTAATAGATCTTTCTCTCGTTACGTGTTCGTATATGTGTGTGTGTGTGTTGTATGTGTACGTGTGTAGATTATCCGTTTTTATTATCGTTTCTTTTTTCAACGTTCTTCCTTCAAGTAAGAAGACACAGTCAATCGGGAAGAGGATTGGACCCGTTGTTGATGCTACTGCAAGACTTTCGTTTCATCTGCGGCTATAAAAGTGGACGGTAGGTTCCGTCGTCGACGGTGGCCAGGAGGTTCGGATTCTTTGGCTTTGTTGTTTGGTTTCGAATATTCAAACGACTAGTCTTGTGCACCGGTTCAACGTAAGATCGAAGATCTCAAGAGATTCAGACGTCGAGGGATGTAAGGTTCAGCCGGAGAATCGAAGCTTTAGGCAGTCTGTGCACTGATAATTGCACTCGTTCGAATCCCCTCCGTCGAATCTCTTACACCACTTTACACCTCGATCTCTCTCGAAACTGACTAGAACATCACTTAATAAAACACACTAGGAAAATAAAATCTATGTATATATGTACACTCTAGAGAACACCTAGGTATTAGAAAACATATATCACAAGAACCTCACGGCCACGTCTACGTAAAACCACCACTAAACGCGACTCTACCCACTAGTCAAGAGGTCCGCGAACACTAGTTAACGAATTCACAGTACATCTGAAGATGGACCTGAAGAAACTTCCTGTTCCCGAATGAGAGAGAGAAGAAGAGAGAGGGGGGAGAGAGAGAGAGAGGGCGAGAGGTCAACAGATAGACAAGTAGACAGAGAATACAGATAGAAAGATTGGTTGAATCGATCGTTCTGGAGGGACTGTACGTTACGCGAGCGTCGTTCAGGATATGGAACGTATGATCGTTCCATTCCTATATTTAATACGAATGCTGCGGCTGCAAAGACGAGACTCAGCTGTGTGGAGACGTGTCGGACCCCTGACTATTGCCCAGTCCTCCCATTCCGGACTGCGAGGTGAGCCTGGTGGCTGACTGTGACGTGGTGGTCGTGGCCACCGTGGAATGTGCCAGGTTATGGTGCCTTCCGGTTTCTGGCACCAGGTGAGGCGTACGGCTCGAGACCGGCGGCAGGATTGTGCTAGCCGGCCAGGGATGAAGGGACGCGGTGCTGGGCGCGCTAGGCACGCTCCTTGAGTGTGGCAGCGAGTTCGACAGGTTCGCCAGAGGATGATGAGCAGACACGGAGATACCCATTGTTGGGCTGTTCCCAGTTGGTACACCGCCGCCACCACCACCGGAAGGCGCCATTGCTACAGCGGTGTCCGGATGAAGGAAGTGCCTCCTCTGCTCTGTACGCTCACCGTGCTGAGCTATACACCTGGTCAGCTCCTCTGGTAAAAGCTCTAGTTGAGCCTGCAGGCCGGTCAGTTTCTCTTCTAGGCCGATCAGCCGGTCATCCAGGCCCACCAGACGCTCCTCGAGCGCATCCTGACGCGTGCTCATGTCTGACACGATCTCGTACACTGTGTTCTGCGTCTGTTTGGAGAATTATCGAGTATTATTGCTTGTCTAGGATGTGTGCAATGTTTGAGGTTGATATAATATAGCAGGGCCGCTCAAGAAGGCCTGTTTCGAGTATGGGTGTACTTGGTGGAAGAAGAGATATAGCGGGGTCGTAAATCTTCACTTCAAGGGAGTCTCACAAATTTCAAGTTGCACGAGTCCAGAGAAAGACGTGAATTCTTGGTCAAGCGACGGCTATAATTGGATTAGTATTGTAGGAACCGAGGACAGATTTTGAGGGATACGACGGGAGTCGAACCCGGAATCTTAGCAAGCCGAGGCTTTGCGCACTACGCCAACATCTCCCTCTATATTTTTCCTTGTCGGTTTCCCTTTTCGGGAATAGAGGCCCCGATACTACAGTATAGATCCGTATCTAACTTCTTTTCTGTTTCGTCACTTTCTTAAATATACTGGTGCCAAGTTGACTTCGAACGGCCCTGCACGTGGCTAGAGATCCTTATCTCATCCAAACTGATGTTTCGGCGATCAGATTTCATGTTCCCTTACGCCTGTCTAATTTCACGATCTCAGTATAGCTCTTCCATCAAGTATACCCGTTCTTGCCCGCGGGCAGTGTTGCAAAACTAGGGGCAAGTGACGTGGACAGGCATTAAAGTAGAGTGGGGTACAAAGATTGTGGTGGGAGTGTAGGCTCTAACTTCGGAGCATAGATTTTTACATTGATACATTACCCCACCACAAGATCTTTGCCCGAGAAGGCGTGGCTTACTGTCCGAGTATCGCCGTGTGCCCGAGCTAGTCTGACCACTGCCCTACGAGCAACTTGTTGAGCGGCTTTGCCTAGTTCCTAAGTATTTGCACACACATTTGCTCACAATGTTCTTTATTTCTGTAAGCTAATTTATTTAACAAGTGTTTAGGGAAGACACCAAGAATTTAACTTGTTAAGTAACCTTTATTTAAAGAATAGAATTTTTTCGGAAAATTTATCGAATTTTTAAATAAAAAGAAGAAAGTAGGTGGGCAAACACTTATGAGTCGCAGATTAAATAATATTCTACATGAAATAAACTTGCCATTGCAATAAATTGGATAAAAACAGAAACACATGCTTTTGGAAGTAAAATTGAATAGACTGAATGGACACTTAAAAATAAGTAGTAGTGCAAAGGATCGAAGAAGTAAATTATTATAGGCAAAGAATAGTTCGTGCCGATCGATTAGAAGGTTAAATATAGGATCAACCAAAGTTTCTACTTTCTTAAATTTTAGTTTAGCGACTTCCATCGTCCAAAACTATATCAAACAATCGAACATTTTTACGAGTGGAATCGCAATCGAAGAATATTCATTGCGTTTGTCCAAAGAACAATATGTTTTCCTCACGACGGACAATCGAGGTCGCTAAACGAAGAGCTTGTTCACTGGTACAAAGGGCGTCTGATCGACACGACGAGATTCATCGACAAGGGAAGTTTAATTGGATTCTAAGTTACTTGCGTGTAGGTACCTTGGCCATATCCGTGATGGTATTGGCATTGTCCATTAATTTTCGCTGATCCATTTTGACTTTCCTGAGTCTGAAAAGTTTCATTATCACTGGACTGAGGACGTTTATGCAATTTTAACACATCGAAAAAATGTGCAAAATACAAAATACAAATATTTTGCAAAATGAAAGATAAATAAAATATTTTGCAAAATATACCTAAATAAAATATTTTGCAAAATGAAAGATATAAAGGAAATATTTTGCAAAATGAAAAATATACCTAAATAAAATATTTTGCAAAGTGAAAGATATAAATAAAATATTTTGCAAAATGCAAAATGTCTCAAGAGATTCTAACGTCACTATTGTGTATTTTACACATTTTATGTATCATAATTGCATAAACATCCGCAGTCCAGTTATCACGGACGGGGATGGTTAATCCTACTCTCGGTTCTATAATTGGCACATTTATACACGTCGATCAAAAGAAGTCACGTGTGCATCGACTTACGCGTATATAGCCAACAGAAATTTCCGCTGATGCGTTCGAACACGTCCTGGATTGACACGTTTCACCAGCCTGGTGTGCTTGTAAATTAGCCACGTCTCGCGTAACACGTTCGCCGCGGCGTTTTTCAACTGGAACAGAACGTTTCGTTATTTAGGAATTCTTTGTTTTCCCTCGTTTATTGCCTCGATTTTCCGGGTGTTTTTTTTTTTTTTTTTACATCCCTGGGTGAAATTGCAGAACAAAGATCGATAGATCGTACGGGAGCACGTGTATTTTCTCTATTAATGGATTAGCAAATCTACGAATGTGCCTGGGCTCGTTTTTAAACAACGAAATTGTCGAATCGATGGTGCCCTTGCGTGCAGTTTTATTTTATAATTTTCCATTTCGATATCCTCGAATTGTCTATTCACGTCTGTGAAACACATAAATGTGAATCGCTTTTATCAATTTAAATTGTGAAAATTGTTCTGGTATCGAAACGATATCGACTCCAGCCTCGTTGTATAATTAAATTCAATTCAACGTTCATATATTGGTATTGTTATAATTCTTCCTGGTTGGAAATTTTGCAAACTTATTTTTGAGAAACGAACGACATTCGTTTTCAAAATTTTACAGTAAATAGTATACATCGATAATTCATAATTTGCATATTAATTCGAATAATATTAATTATTTGCTAAATTCGCTAAATTTCAAATAAATATTTGAAAATTTGCTAAATTCGCCACGACTTGAAAAATTTAGTATGTCAATTTTTCGTTAAGGGTATTCTTTCGAAAGTAATCAGGGTAAAATTTGAAAGTGAATCGAACGGAAATTTGTCGAACTGCAAACTGCTTAAGCAACGTAGGCATTTTTCTAACAAGTATCGTTCCCAGGGAAATTAAGAACAGAAACCCTCGAGAAGAGGGGTTGTACACCTTCTGCAAGCAATTTCCCTCGTTCATGGTTAATTGGACAAGAATCCAATATCTCCTAGTCGCGATAAAACAGGCTGGAACGCTGCAATTTCAGAGACGTCCAATAATCGCCGGGGAACGATCGAGGGCGTGTTTATCTCGACGGGAAGCGAGACCTGCGACGAAAATTATCGCGAAAACAACGAAATCGTGATACCGCGATCACGTACACCTCTGACTCTTCCGACACATTTAAAAGGACACGTCACGAATGTTGGATCTTGATAAGATGAATTTTAAGCACGAACATTTTCAGTATATAGGGTGAGTAATACTGGTTCATCGTGATACGAACTAATCTGTTAACTAAATTAACTGAGGAAGACGAGTCAATTGGTCATTCGAATGAATATTTATTCAGAGATTTTCAATTTTTTTTTTTCAAAGAATAAAGTATGGACAGTTGCATAGTTAAAAAAATGTGAATTTTAAAAGAAAAGTAGTTTAAAGTTTGCATTGGAATGTAATTCGATTTTTTTCCAGGTGTGAAACTAATCAAGCTGAAAATGTGAGGTTTTATAAAGATGAGAATTGATATTTCTTGATTTGTAACTAAATACCGAAGAAATTTGATTTCTGAGCACAAAATGAATTCAATTTAATCGAGTTAACGGTTTGATTGGAATATGAATTGAAGTTCTTTCTTTTCTAATTTTGTCTACTTAATCATACAATAAGTAGCCTCTGGCTCTATATTAAGCGAATCTAAATACCTCATAAAAGACTAACAAAGAATCAATTATCAATAATTAATCGAATCCTTCCAAAGCTGTCAGAGATTAAACATAAATCGAACCGAGGACATGGAAAAGACGTCAAAAATAAACTTTTCGAACCAAATCGGCGAACGTAACCAACATTAGTCGTTGCTCCTTGATATTTCCGAGGTTCATACATATCGCGGGCTATTAGTTAATTCAGTGGCCGCGGCAAAACGTTTCGATCTAGAGACAGGGACGAGAAGACGGCTGTCGTTCACATGCCGTTTGTCGACTGAAACGAATAGCCTGAATACTTCATAAACGCCGCTACTTGAAATAGTCTCTCGAATTAATTGACTCGTGAAGGTCTTCGAGTTCCCTTGAAACACGGAAGAAGATGAATTTTTCTCGGTTTCTCGCGATAAACCAAAACGATTTCCCTGCATTCTCCTCTCTCTCTCTCTCTTTAGAGTATCTTCTTTCCCTCATTTTTCACGTTTTTTCCGGACAGTTTCTGAGTGGAAGAAGGTCAACGCAGACCTTGTTCCTTGAGATACGACTCTCTTGCTGGAAACGGTAACGCTAGACGATCGTTCGCGACGCTCTCGAATCATCAAGAATGGATAAAAATGACAATGACACATTAGATTGCCTGTTCGTCCCGCGTCCAGCTCTCTCTCGTCCTGAGTGTCTCGTGTCGGTCAACGTCGAGGTGGCGTACTTCGAACTGTCATAAACGCTGAGCTTGCTTCGATTCAGCGGTTTTTCCGATTGGGAAGTAGAAGCTGATGAACAGAACGCTTGGAGAAATCGTTGTTTTCATTTTCGAGATCGATGCTGGAGAATTTCAGGATTTTTTCATATGCAATTGCACAACTGTGCGAAGAGTAGAATCGAGGAGTTGAAGAATGAATCGAATCTTGGACTATCTTTGGTGAAAATTCAAGGGTTGAGTGGATTTTAATGTTCTTCGTAGGAAATTCAAGTTTTTCTGTATTTCCCAATCCGTGGATAATAAAATAGAACTCGTTCAAAATCAAGAATGAATCGAATCGTGGACTATCCTTAGTGAAAATTCAAGGGTTGAGTGGATTTTAATATTCTTCGTAGGAAATTCAAATTTTTCTGTATTTCCTTATCCATAAAATAGAACTCGTTCGATATCATTTCGTGAAATTCTTCAGTTGAAAAGGGAGTTTCTGGGAATATTTTGAAGGTTTATATGCTAGTTCGCGAAATATGTTAATAATACAGTTTATTGTATATTATTAAGTCGTGTAATATTAAACGTCAGATTTTTCAGAGAGGAATGAAGATCGTTTTGTAAATTCAAACAGATTCTTAGATTCTTTGGTAAGTCACGAAGAATTTGTGAACTTTAAGTTAACACGGAAACACTCAGAACTTTTCGACTCAAATTTCGTTAATTTGCGAATGATTGAAAATTTGATGTTTCATATTTATGTTACACGATCTAACATATCTATGATTTATATGGAAGTTTGGACCACTTCTAGGATGTTTCTACTTAAACTTTTTTAAGAAAGTAATATAATACATAAGAATGAATACTTTGCTAAATTTTCTGCAGTACGTTTCTTTATAGACTTCATTATATTAACGAGTCTCTGGTGATTTTATATTACATGACTTAATTACATAATAGTAAACATTAATAGAAGATAAACAAGCATGCGTCTTACCCTTTTCGTTAATTGCGTATCCATCATAAAGTTATGAACATGCTTCTCCGCCCTGGTGAGCTCGAGCTTCCTGGAAACAACCGCCACCAGCAAAGCCGTGCATCCGGCGCCCTAAAAACACCGTGAATCGTACCTGTGAACTCGAAATTATCTAGCTGCCCTGCTAATTACTTGCTAATTTAATAGAATTCTCGCAGTCCTCCGCTGCTACGCGGGTGACAGAATGGTGTGCGTGCAGCGTGTGTATTATTAGGTCATCCCGTAAGTTCGTGCCGAAAGCAAAAAGAATATTTCAATGAAAAACTAAAGAAGCGTATTTTCTACCTTTTTTCTTCTAAAGAATATTTACTTTCTTTTTTCTTCTTCTAAGAATTTCAAACAATTTTAAGTGATCACCCTAAAAGATTATGTTTAATTCTACCAACAAATTTTCTCCGAAGGAAAAGTATCTGAATGAAAAACCAAAGATTTTCTAACTTTATATTTTGGAAGGATATTTATTTCCTTTTCTTCCCAAGAATTTCAAGCAATTTTAAGTGATCATCCTAAAAGATTATGTTTAATTCTATCAGCAAATTTTCTCCGAAAATACTATTCGAGAATTGAAATTTCCACTCAAGTAGATTGCCCTAAAAGGGATGTCCAGTGCAAGCGTACGGTCAAGGCGATAAACGTGAGCATTGTTGAGGCATGGAGTGAACGGACACGTTTGTTGGGCGAAATTTCACGGAAAATTGGCCACGACGACCAAATTGGTTAACGATTCGCGGCTACCAGCCTCCCAGATCGGTGAATTAGCATCGGGCATAGAGAGCAGTAACAATAAGGAACCAGCCGCATTCCCAATGGAGAGATTAGACCGGCTGTCTCGTTTATCGTCACGAAGTGTCGCTCTAAATGCATCGTAACTGCACTTGGCGCGATGCTGCGATCGATAACCTTTGCTTTCCCTCTGTACCATCGAGATATGCTGAATTTTGTATCAACTACGGTAATACACACGAATTCCTATCAGCATTAACAATCCTTTAATCAGATAGATTACGTGAAAATTGCGTGTAAAATTAAGTCGAATTAATATCAACATTTAAAAAAAATCTAAAATTTATCAAGATGAATTATAGTAGGTTTGGGTTTAGGTTAGATTCTTTTTATTTAATCAAAAAAGTATAAATTGTATAATCTCAGTGACAGGTGTTTTCATATGCGAAGCTTAACGTTAAAGAAAGATGAAAGAAAAAGAACGTTTCCTTTTTCAACGTGATGTCCATTGAGGGACATTTGCGATAGGTGCATGCAAATCTCGCGAGAATTTCCATATTAAACTTCGAGTGTTGGCCTTACCATTATTCCAGTGGAAACGGCTATACCTCGACCGCAGTACGTGTTGGGCACGATGTCACCGAAACCGACGCTCAGAAACGTGATAGCAATGAGCCACATAGCATTAAGGAGATTCGCGTGCTCCTCGTCGTGAAACCTGGCCGCCACAGAACAGAAAACAGGATGAAATATTAGAGAACGTTCAAGCGACCCACGGACAAATAATCGTATCTCTCTGGTCGATTAAATATTTCAACCGGTGACCGAGTTGTCTATTTCGTTCGCAATCGCAACATGATTCTGGTTAAAACATTATTCGTCCCGCTGTGTACAGATTGTCTTTTCCGACTTCGTTGTGGAAAATTGTGCAGACACGTCGTTTTAACTCGAACTTGCTTCTAGAAAAGTCTTCACGAGAACGAATAATTATTATTTGGAAAATTGTTGATATGTTTCTCGTGTAAATAGTACAATTTAGAGTACCGATGTGAGGAGAATAATTTCGTTCGTGAAATTTTATTTCTAACAAGATTATTTATTGTTAACGTTGTGACTCTTCTATTGTGATTAGCAAGATAAGTTTATTTTACTATTTTTTTATTTATGGCTATAATTCCGTTACAGTGTATATTATGCATTGAAAATAGAAGAGGAGAAAAATAATATTTATAAATATATTTTAATTGAATGTGATATTTAGCAATAGTTCTTTAATAATAAATCATCAAACGTGCGATCGTTTTAGACCAGACAACTGTACGCGATAAACTATA